AGATAGAAAGATAGAAAGATAGATATGTATGTGTGTGTGTGTGTGTGTGTGTGTGTGTGTGTGTGTGTATCCACCCACTTTTATTACTTTGTATGTAGTATGTAGAATGTATATAGATAACTTTAAAAAGAAGCCAGGCATTAGTTGTTGTTGTGGGAAAAATACTGTAGTAGGTATGTTTACCACCTCATATATGAAACCCAAGGTGCTAAGCATATCTAGCACTCCTTCCTCCTTCTATTTTTCCACAACAACAACAACCCATGCCTGGCTTCTTCTTAAAGTTATCTGTCAAGATGGCATCAATGGTTTCCCTTAACGATTCTGTTCCCTAAACTTTGTGCTGCCATCACATTTTTTGACATCTGTTTATCTGGCTTTTGAGAATTATGCTTGGAATAGTCAATTCTTATATGCCACTTCATATTTTCATGGTTTAGTATAGCTATATACTGTATTTTCTTGGCTCAACTTCTTTAGTATCTAGTCTAATTTTCTATCTATCTATGTATCTATCCATCTATGTACCTATCTATCTATTTCTGCCCATCTCCCTCAGAGAAAGAGAGAATCAATGTCTTTGTTATGTGTTTATATTGGACCAACATAATGTCTGGATTTTCATGTCATGATAAGTCATAATTTCACTCAGATCTTAGTTAATGTGCTGGTTGAAACCACCTAATGTGGTGTTTAAATCAGGGCTTTAACATGCTATTGTTCAAACTCAGATAATTCTGGTTTATTCTCCAATCATGCTTAGGTAAACAATGACTTAATACAACAAGGATACTCATCCAGCATCCTAGAGCAACATTTCTTTTCTTTCTTTGTTTTTATTAAAAATAGATTCCAAGTTGCCTGTGTATATAATCAGAAGCTTATTTTATTATTGGAAAAGCCAATATGTACACCCAATTGTGTTTGATATTGTTTCTTGTAGAGATTTGATACAGCAGAATGGAAAAGAAGATAGAGATGTTGCAACAAAACTTCTGGGTCAGTGGACATCCTTTGGTCTTGAAGATGTCCAGCTCATCAATTACACTGTCTTGCTTGACCTGCCAGGTTCTTCTCCAAATACAGTGACTCTGAATAACACTGGGGAATGCTACTATCCTAATGGACAGCCATGTAACAAAGAGACCCAAACTCACTACAGTCAAGACCTTCCATATGCCTATGCTGCTTACTCTGCCAAAGGAACCCTCACGGTAATATGACCATTTGTACGTGTTATATTGGTATAAAAATCAAGCAGAAAGGCAGGAAAAGCCCCACTTAGATGTAAGCCTGTTGAATGATATACTATATTCTCTTCCAATGGCACGAGAACAAGAAGACTTACGGAGGTCACCAATACAAATCATGGAACACTGTGCCATGTCTATGGAGATTCTAAATGATTCATGTCATGGTTGTCCCAAAGATGCTTTTCCAAAGGCAACTGGACTTTCTTTTTTCCTTCGAAAATGTTTCACTGCTCATCCAAGTAGCTTTTTCAGTTCTAACTGACTGGTGGGGAATAAAAAGATTTATATTCTTTGCAGTCATCCAGTCATTAGCACTCTGGAGGTCAGTCATTAGGACTCAGTTATTGGGGCCACTTGGTTTATCTGTATCCTCAGAGCTATGATGGCACGGTGGTTAGAATGCAGTACTGCAGACTATTTCTACTGACTGCTTGGCTGACTGTAATTTGGCAGTTCAAATCTCACCAGGCTGACTGTAATTTGGCAGTTCAAATCTCACCAGGCTCAAGGCTGATTCAGCCTTCCATCCTTCCGAGGTGGGTAAAATGAAAACTCAGATTGTTGGGGGCAAATATGCTGATTCTGTAAACTGCTTAGAGAGGGCTGTAAAGCACTGTGAAGTGCTATATAAGTCTAAGTGGTATTGCTATTGTTCAGAGTCATCTGGAGTAGAGTTCAAATGGGTATGGAACATTCTTGGGACTGTGGAAAGGTTGTTAAGAAGAGATAAGTAATGTCATATCCCTCCCCTCTGTTCAATCCAGTTTTAACAAAATGGTCTTTTTTAACCCTCAAATCAATGGTCCACTCTGTCCAGAATGTGAACTTTGCTGTCTTCAGAAGAATGACCTTAGCCTTTCAGATGCAGATAGACTAAACAACCAATCACTGCTAGTTGCTATTGCAACTACTGTTGCAAGTGGACACGGTCACATAACATCAAGCTTTACAACACCCTCACTTAGTGATGGGGTTACTTGTCCCAATTACCATTGTTAAGTGAGGACTACCTGAACACTAATCAAGATGTACAGTTTGTTTTTTCTAAACTAACCAAAGAAGTGTTCCCAACCACTTTAAGGATCATGTAGTACACAATAATTTTGCTTGTTTAAATTTGGAATTGTCCATCAAAGAAAAGATATCCATGTATCCTTGATTTTTTTTTTTAAAAAAAAAAACCTCACTTAGGTTTCAGCCAGATTCAACGCATGGCTTTTCTCAACATGGAGTAGAATGCACTTTTTAATAAGGAGACATCTACTAATGGGATTATTAATTAGAAGCAGTACAATTCACCCCTCCCCCTAAAAAAAAAAATCTCTCCTCAGGCAAGATGGCTAAATACAACATGAGAGGATTAAAACATATAACCCTTATATACTTAACTGTATAGCTTGGATAGATCAATTGTCAATATTGTAAGACAATTCATTTATGAAGTAATTTGTGGATGTTTTTAATAAAAAAGAGGAAACCCACATCTCTATATTAATACATATCTAGTTTGGTCATCAGAGCCCACAGTTAAAATATCCTTATTTATGCGAGATTATTATTTGTTCTCAAACTGTACAGACTAGAACTCACAGAGCAATTTTTCTTCTGAAACTGCTACATGATTATACATACCCAACCTTTTCCTACTACTTGTATTTAACATTTATTTTATCTTAGGTGAGAACCAAGCATTGGTGTGAAGAATCTAAGCCCAAAGGAATTTGTGATCTATATTTGTGCATAGAACAGGAGCATATGGGGAGATAAATTTACAAGCATCCCCACCTGCTTTTGAGCACTGCCTGCTCTGGATATATGTAGGCCTCAAAAAGTGAAGATCCATCTGGTGTTCATACTGTATAATTAAACTTAGCCACCTGCAAATGTAAAAAGAATTAAGGCTTTTGCTAGAGACAAAGCCCTATTAAGCGTACCTAATTATGCCTCTCTACCATCTGAGTTAATGTAATCAATGCTCCGATGGTGCAAGCTTTCTGCATGATGCCACAACTACTTATATCTTTAAGATGAGGAGGCTAATTCCAATAGTAAAATTTCCTTTTGAAAACTATAGCCTGGTTGGTTATAATTTGCAATCTTTATATATCACATTGATGATGTTAGCATCCATGGTTATGGAATGAAATCCCATTGTCCCTAGTTTCACTCAATCATCGTGAATATGTGGGGGGAGAAATTCATCTCCTATCATAATTATGCTGTGGGGAAGAGAGACAAATGACAAAATGTACATTGCAATGTCAAAACACAAAGCACACGGCTTACATGTTTGGAAGGCCAGGTTTGTCTCAGGATTTCACGATCAACATTTTGTTATTTTCATGATATCTGAAGTTATGCTTCCAACTATTGATGGTGTTTCTATACAATAATAACAAAATAACAGAGTTGGAAGGGACCTTGGAAGTCTTCTAGTCCAATCCCTGCTCATGCAGAAGACCTTATACCATTTCAGACAAATGATTGTCCAGTCTCTTCTTAAAAACCTCCAGCGTATGGAGGAAAGTCATTTCACTGATTAATTGTTCTAACTATAAGCAGATTTCACCTTAGTTCTAGTTGGTTCTCTCCTTGATAAGCTTCCATCAGCTGTCCAGGTCATGGCTGTCCCAAAAATGCTTTTTCAAGAGGCAACTGGCCTTTCTGGGTTTTTTTTAAAGATGTTTCCCTTCTCATCCAAGAAGCTTCTTCAGCTCTGACTGGATGGGAGGGAATTAGATCAGGATTAGATTCAGCAGTCCACCTTTGGGCTTAGATTCCTCACACCAATGCTTGGTTCTCACCTAAGATAAAATAAAGACAAAGGCTACTCTTTTGAAGACAGCAAAGTCCACATTTTGGGCAGAGAGGACCACTGGTTTAAAAGAGGAGTCCAAGAGGCCATCTATGTCAAAATTGAACAGCACTTTTTCTCAACAGAGGGGGAGAGATACAATATTATTTATCTCCAGTCTACAAAACAGACCTTTCAACAGTTCCAAGAAGGCTCCACACCCATTGGTACTACTCAGGTGATCCCGAGGATACCCATAAATCTCCAGGTGGCCTTAATGACTCACTAAAAGAATGCAAATGACCAGCTGTCTGCAAGGAGTATAAATCCATCCAGTCAGAGCTGAAGAAGCTTCTTGGATGAGAAGCAAAATGTCTTCAAAGAAAAACCAGAAAGTCCAGTTGCCTCTTGAAAAAGCACCTTTGGGATTTCCATCCATTTTTGCTTCTTGTCCTCCCTTTAGGGGCTTTGATTAGCAGGATTCAAAGATGCCTCGAGGTAAAAGGTAAGAATAATAACCACTGTTTTCGGTTCCAAAGAAATCTACGGGAAAAGTGAGTCTGCTTCTTCCCTTTTCTTTGTCCTACTATTCTAATGGAAAATTGAAGATGAACCATTTTGTAAGTGAAAGTGCTAATCTGACTCTCTTCTTTATGCTTCAAAGATAACAGATCAATATTCCCTTACTAAATATATTTATATAGCATAGGTTTGTATATTCCCACATATAGAATCAAATCATGCTGTATTTTTAACACAGTCTGTACAGGAAGAACATCTCCATAAGACTGTAAACTCTCTGCTTCTGAAACAGAGACTAGGAGTACAGATATTGGATATTATAAATATATCTCCATTTGCATGAGATGCAAAGGGGCTAGGTGACTTCACCTGTCATCATGTAAATTATGAAAAGTATTTTCTGTACATAATTTTGACTCAACTAATGGAAATTGATGCCATAATCAGAATGATATTTTCCAGATGCCTACATGTTTTTTTTTTCTTTTAATGACCCCATAGTCCCTTATATCAGGGTGGAGTTGGGGCAACTGAATGGAGCCGAGTGTTTACTGTCTGGATGCCCTTCCTGTCGCCAATGCAGAGTTTGCAGCAGATAATTACACATTGTGCCCAGAGAGAGAAATATCTGCCCCTACCTAGGATTGAACTCACAGCCTTCTGATTGTGAGGCAAGAGCTCCTCTTCTAGGCCATTGTACCACTCATACACATGCTGTTTCTAAATGATGGTAGCAGCCTTTAATATTTAATATAATATTATAATAATTTAATATAATATTTAATATAAGAATATGCAATATTCTTAATAGTCTAACACAATATCCCAGATTGTGATGTTGATTTGAATTTTAATCGCTACCTCCTATTCTGATTTGTTTATTAATAATTAAATTTGTCCAGCATGAAACAAACAAATCAAGATTGAAATTTGCATTTTGCATGAAAATGTTACTTATTAGATTCATAGTCTACCTTTCCTTTTCAAGTTTATAGAGCATGATGCCTTCCATTCACACTTACAATTAACCTGGGAAATATTGGTTCAGAAGTGGTATTCAGCAGGTTCTGACCAGTTCTGGAAGAACCGGTAACATAAATTTTGAGTAGTTCAGAGTACCAGCAAATATCACCTCTGACTGGCCCCGCCCCCACCTATTCTCTGTCTCCTGAGTCCCAGCTGATTGGCTGGGTCTTCTTTTGTTTGCACAGGAGAATGGAGCTGGAAAGCAGGTTAGTGGGGTGGGAGCGAATGGGATTTTGCCATAACCTTCCCCCAGGATTGGGGAGGGAATGGAGATTTTACAATATCCTTCCCCTGGAATGGGGAGGGAATGGAGATTTTGCAGTATCCTTCCCCTGCCATTTCTACCAAGCCACACCCACCAAGCCACACCACGCCCACCAAGCCACGCCCACAGAACCAGTAGTAAAAAAAAATTGAATCCTACCACTATATTGGTTGATTGTGACTGTTCCAAAGTCATCTGGATAAGTTTCATGGCTGAAGGTAGCCTTGAACATGGATGTCTCCCATTCTCATTTATCAATCACCATATTGAATTCAGACAGCCATATCCTATAGAACAGATTATTGAGGGAAAAGTTAACGATCTAAACACAAAGTAGAACATGGTTAGCTGTAT